TAAGAAATACTATGAAACTTCAGTTCAAGATATTCTAATGACTACTTTCAACCACCTAACTTAAAATTGGAATTCATAATAAATTTGTCTAAAGATATTTAATTATAAGGAATAGCTTATTAAAAAAAAATTTATTTTTCACTCTATAAAAAGCGTTTCTAAAAATGAGATATCTTGAATTGAAACTACTGAGTGATATTCGATTCATGGTGATTTTCGTTTGTTTCAGTAATATGTCCTATCACGTATATATGTATCTTAATTAGATTTACATACAATGCATTATTCTGAAAATATTTTGATCTTTACATCATTATAACAACTAGTCCCCAATATCTGTCACATGATACCACAATCAATGCAAATTATGGAGCCTAATCTTCAGACAATCGTTTCGTTAATCATTTGGTGTCATCAAATAAAACAATAAACCTATTTTTGGCTTACTAGAATGCACTGAAAATATGTATATTCTCTTACTATTAACAACAGTAACTGAAGTTGAATTATAATCTGTAAGCTTCAATTAAAAATAGTTAACAGAAAAATTTTTTCACTAATTCTTTGTGATTATTTCTTGTCATAAACTAATATCGATTACGGAACGATTGATAACAGTGGGTTGACGATTAACTATTTCAATCTAACCTGAACTCCTTCATTACTTGTCAAGTTCAGCCGTGACATGTGTACACCAACCACTCCTAGTGGCTTTGTACAATAGTTGCACTATGTTGTGGATTGACTGAAGTTAGAATTAGGAACCTTTGAATTACATCTCACTTGTCTGAATTTCGAATGCTCGCCGTGACGTCTAACAATTCTAGGTTAGGTCCCATGTAGGAGTCTGGATATCCACTGTGGAAGAGTTACAAACTAGAATGAAACATCTGTCTACTACTCCTTGGTTTCCTTTGTTTCACTTGTCAACGTTATTGCAAGAAAGAAGTCATCATCAAAATGTTTCGCTAGTAATAAAATTGCTTGTCATTAATAATATGGTATTTTATAAGTAGATGTGACTTAAACTTAATTAGCATACTGATTTCTACAAATAATAATAATAATTGCTAACTATAGAAGAAAGATTTATTATTTATTTACCTTCTGTAACTTAACTTTACTCTGATTATAATAAAGTAATTTAGGTCGTGATTAGTGTATTAAGTGTAAACGATTTTCTACCTCTCGATCGATCAAGTTTTTGGTGACACCCAAAGACTGAAGTATGACAGAGTTCTTCCATGAAGTTCTACTCCCTGAAGTAGTTAGTGATATTTTCATGTACATTGATTGTCATCTGACAGCTTGTCTTCTTTTATGTACTTTGTTTCTATAGCTAATATTTATTGGTCGAACATGCCATCATCTTAACATATACACTTTGGTCTATGGACTTTATCATTGAGTCACCGTAACCTCTATTATATATCAGAAATATATAAATTATGGCAATTTTCCGGTCATTTTTATTTCTTTTTGTATTTGACAACCTACTACCTATTCGTTGTGGACATTTTTATTTAGAAAAATATACCATTAAAATATGTTCACATCCTAAAATTAATTTTTTTAAAAAAATAAGGATTCCTGGCGTCTTTGATTTCATTCTTAGTGCTCGTCAATCACCCTATTACTCTCATGAAAAACTTACAAAGTCAAAAATAACTTGATTTCTCTCAAGCGTACTTTCTTTAACAAAAGTTGTATCTTTCATCTATGCATATAATAATTTCCTAACAAATCACAACTGATTACATCATACTATGAAAACTAATTATTAAAAGCTTAAAAACTGGTCAAAGCAAGTTTTATCATTAATTCAGCACAGATATATTAGCTTAAGGCTACTCAACTCTTTGACATGTTGTAATTTAATTTTTCACATAAAATTTTTAAAAAAATTTTGACAAGAAATGTATAGATTAACTAAACTATAAAATGGATCTAATGACATGTTGTTATAATATGTGTGTAAATGTCCTGATGAATAATAAATCTAATATAATTTCAATAGTTGAGATCATGAGTCAATTGAAGCTAGACCATTATGAAAAACTAATATAATAATATTTAATATAACCTTATCCTAGTTCATTTTTAATTCTTTTTCTGGAAATTTTTCCCTATGGCAATAAGAGTCAAAATAAAATTTGACTTTTAGTTCATATCAATAGGCGGATAAATTTTTCAAATATTCTAATAAACTAACTCACAACTGAAAAAAAAAAGGAAAAGTTATATCTTATTAAGATTTTGTTTTTGTCAAATTTATTAACTAAACCAAGTGATTAGTTAATGTTAAGCAATATCATGTTGTTCAGTTTTCATTGCTGATTGAATTTTTTTTATCTGCTAAGTTTCAGTCCAGTGATTAGATCATATGATCTAATACTGAGATACACCGTGTTTCAAGTTAGATTGTTGTAAATAGCTAGTAGTAATTACTTATATCTTTAACGGTGAAAATAAGTGATATATGTTAGAATTTATCAGGAAATGTCAATTACTTCAAGAATGTTGGTAAATTTCAACGAATAGGAATCCTAGATCAGTTGCTTCTTGATGATCTCCTCCGACTAACTAAAACAATTTAAACAAGATTTCAAAGATGGTAATGTAGTCCTAATGAGATATATTTTTACAATTAGGAACTTTCCCAACTGTGGGAAAGCTTGATTTCAAGTATGATGCCATATACAATCTCTGATAAATACGGAGATATTATCATTAATCGAATGAGTAACATTCCTGTTGTTGAAATTTAGTTCTTTGATGTGGATTACAGTCAACTTCTGATTAACAATATTTTTGGGACCGTAGAACGTTGAGTTTCAGAGTGCAGCCTAGTTGGTTAACAACTGCATGTTTGTGATAAGAATTCAATCTACTGAGTTTTATCCCAAAGGTAATATTACCAAAATAGAAACACATGACTACCTTAAGGAAATCATATGCATGATGAGAAAAGATATTTGTGCAACACACCACCTAATCATTACTTCATCACCCTGTTAGTTAATATCAAGTTTCTTAGAATAACATTTTCTACTTCAGTCTCAATATTGTCCCATTTGATTATAATGACCTCCATAATAACTACTGGTTCTGAAAAAGTAGTGTGGCATTTATTACAGTAATAAGCTAATGTTATTTTGCAACCGTTTACCCCCTCCCCTCACGCACCTTGAAAAAACGAAAATACTATAGTTTTCACTTAATCTTTATTTTTAATTATATGATCAGACTAAAAAATCTTACCAGACACTTATACACGTAGAAATCTTATTTAGCGTATATACATTCTATGTTAAATACTTTGTTTCTTCCAGAAATAGTACTCAGAATTTTTTTATTATTCGGTCAATAGACAAGTTAACCTATAACACATTTTCCAATTAGTATATTCACCTCAGTTAAATGATGTATACGAGTTGTGATAATAAGACCTACCTTTAGACTAATTTACTCTTAATAGCAGAAAAATTTGACAGTGTGTTTAAAAATTCCCTGTCCCCAAGTACAAAAATGAAAAAAACCTGAAATAGCTGACAGTGTGATCGACTGTTCAAAATATCATCCATTTATCGATGAGCTATCCACTCAAAAAGTTTAAATATCGTGAAGGTTTGATAATCTTGGTCATGAATACCAAGAGCTGAGAAGTACAATCGCTTGAGAATAATAATAAGCATAATACTTGTTAAACAAACATGTAGCTAGATTTCCCTAGTAGCCTAGTGAATAAAATACCTATATTAGAAACGATAATTACTGTATCTAGCTGATTGCTAGCCACTATCCAAAATCTTATCGCATAGGAACATTGATTTGAAACAATAGAAATGTCTGTTCATTAAAGCTGATAATTTATAAACAATATTCTCCGTCGACATACCATTATTAGTTTCCTTAATTCATGTTCCAGATGGATTAGTATTTCAGGATATTTATTGTCATAAAATAAAATCGATCGAATACCTTTGCATCCATTTTACAGTTTTCATAAGTAATTATTTTCATCATACAAATAGCAATCCTAAAAAATTTGTTCACCAAAGACCATAACTTATCAAATTGATCACATCAAAATTCAGAAATGTCGAATTACAAAAATGAATAACGATTGAGATGGTGGATTACTTATCACATAAACATAGCCATCCGCATTTCCTCCAAATCCCAAGGTGAATTCAAATCAGTGATTAAGTTTGCATTTGATATCCTAAGGTTCTAGTAAGAACCTCTGAGTTTAATCCTAACTAAAACTCCCTACAATGTACAGTAGATACCTTATATTATAATACGAATTCAGTTAAAGAATGTTAACAGTAATCTAGTAATGACGTAATCGTCATGAAGGTAAAAGGTTCTAAATTTCATCATTTTTTGTGCCAAATTAAATTCTAGTTTATTAAATTGTTGTACTAGCTTTTGACAACGTATAAAATTATAATCAGGACATTCAACTTTTCCAACAAGCAGTTTACCACTTATCCAGTATAATTACTTTGTTTGAACTGATGAAATACACTTTTTACATTATACATTAATGGAAATCTCCAAATTACATGGCTCTGTTAGTCCTAGATATATATTTAGGAGCAACTTAGGACTTTCAATGGACAACTTAAATTTGGATAGTTAAACATATGCTTTATAGAGGAGTTATATTCAACTTTTTATACTTTACAAAATCTTCATTGTAATAATTTAAGTTGACACTCAAATCAACAGCATTTTAACCACCCATACTTCACAATACAACTGTTAGAGTTGCTGATGGTTGATCCAGCTATTTCACTTATTATTTCTCACATAAAAATTCACAACCTATTATTTCTCAACCCAATATCTCTGAGCAGTGCTGCAATAGTTTATTTCTAAAATATACTGTCCGTCAGTTTTTGACGAAATATGAAACGAAATCCAGTCAACTGAAATATCTACATCTGATAGTTATATCATCATCAACAGCAGCATCACGCTGAGGCAATATTAATGAGATTAGATGTATTTAAGCGAACAAATTTTAAAGCAGAAAATAGTCTCATATTTTTTATACAAACAATGAATCTATACAGTAATGGAAAAAGAAATGTTTATAAAAATGTACAAATATTCAATATTCACATAAATGAGGTTAAACTGAAAAGGATGAAAAAGCAAGAGAAACCAATACAAATAAGTAGAAGTATTCTATAAACAAATGCGATTATAAACTGGGGCATATGATACATATATGAATTATCATATTCAAATGAATAATAAACTAGTCTAATTTGTCTGGAGATTCTAGTAAATAAGAGGTGAATAAACAAGTGAACATAACTGTTATGTAATAACAATAATAATAATAATACTCATAAACTTTGAAAATTTTATCTACCTCTATAATCTGATATGGGACAATGAGTGAATCAACAAAATTTAAGCATTAAAAATTAAAAGGAATAATCTATTTTTATGTAGATATCTATAAATTTATGTTTTGTGGTATACGTTTATGTTTATACGTTCAATTAATTAAAGTATCACAGAAAGGGGGAAGAGAGATTCCAAGTATACATTCACTTTGAATGATCTGAGGGGTTGAATGAGCAATCAACGTCAAAATTACACATTGAAACAATGAAAAGAATCATCTTTATGTATAGACTGCTATTTGCTCTTGTACAATGAAATAGAAATTACAAAGTGAAAAAAGGAATTCAACTGAAATATTCTGTGAACTCAAATACAAAAGAAAAATGTAAATCAATGATATTCTGTTTATCTGCAGTTTCAACAATAATGCTGGTTAGTAATAATGAGAATAATAATTAGGCATTAAATAATATAACTTTTTCAGTTACTCTTGAGGAAGGCATGACACATCTATCGCCATTATTAATAGAAGTAGTACCATTAGCGGTAGTATTCGCTGAGTTTCGTTTACAATTAACAATGATAGTTCGTTCACATTCACTTTTCTTAATTTGTTGATGTTGCTGTAATTCCTCCATTTCAGCAATGGATCCGTACACCCAATCGATGAATTGACGACGACAAGCTTCAGATGGCATACTTAAACTAATTACAGGGCCATTAGAATTACACAGTTGAACTCCGTATCGATAATCTGATTGTATCAACAATAATAATAAAAAAAGAGAATGACAAGCATTCGATAAAATGTAATGAATATGCAAATTTATATCAAATAATGTGCATATTTTCGAGTATTATACTAATAATTTCGTTTATCAAGGGTGGTTCAAATTAATAGCTAGTGAATTATAGTTGAGATACATAGTTGTTGCTTAGACCAACTGCATCTTTAAATAAGAATAACGGTAGTAAGAATTTCGACACTTTAAAATGATACGTAAACCGGTGAAAATTAATATCACCGGAATATTATTGGTATCAGAAAATGTGAAATTCAACATCTGAATATCACGTCATCCATTCTTTTATCTTAAACACAGTTTCGCAACGGGGGAAAATGCATGGGGTTTAGATCCGGAGTTAATTTTCACAAATATGACCTTTCCCTGTTAATTTATTTCATTTCCTTATAAATAAACATCATTTTCTTCTACCCCCACCTACCACAGAAAGTGGGACGTTTTTTCCGGCATTTTTTACCCCAATGATTATATATATATTTCCAATATTATCATTGTAACAAATATTTTTATAAACACTACTGTAAGAACTTAGCAGGGAGTCTTTTAAGGCAGAGAAACATTGTTTGTAGTATTTTGCAACTTCATTTGCGTGTATAACCAATAATTAGGTTGAGAGGGGGACTGAAGATTGTGACAAGCAGGGAATATGACGAAATCGAAACAAATATATTTAAGGAAACATGCTATCAAACCAAATGTGCCTTTACAAACTCGCACGCAATTCGCTTTACCAGGCCTATAATAAGTTTGTCAGGGTGAATTATTAACAGATAACAATTCGCCGTAAGCTCTTACGTATAAAGCTTAATAGTATCGTTTAGTACGAATCACCTTAGTTCAAGCATCAAAGCATTTATGATCATAATTTCTTTAGTCTATACAAGATAGTGAAGTTCGCTCGATCAAGATAACCATAGGTATTACCGGAGACGGGTTACATAACTTTTCATTCATCTAAAAGCACTCTGAAAAATGAATGTGTGATCCTTTGTGACCGTTATTTAATATGCAATAATTATCCGATTGTTTTTCTGTAGTCATAATGTGTTCTATAAGACCTCTGTAAAATATTAAGCTCACAAATCGGATTATTTTGATTTATTATGCAGCACAGTATATATTCTAAAGTCATTTCAAACTAGTATTACATCACCACATTATGTTGGAATTATCGGAACAATTAAGTAAATAATAAAGCATACTTACAATTCGATTCAAAGACCAACACTCGAAGATCAAGGAATGGATAGACACTTCGAACTTGAAAAGTTGTATCCCCAGGAAATGGCTCAGTTGAACAGAACACCTTTTGTGTTACATCTTGAACCGGGCCGAAAGGACTACAACTACCATCATCTCTAGATACGGAATTCCTTGGTGTATAATGACGAGTAGCATTTTGGTCTCCAAAAGCAACTGCTGCGACAGAATTTATAAGGGAACCAGATCGTAAACGGGTTGTATTCAACGATTTAACAACCACCAATATATCGTTAAATATTAATACGTGGCGCCATCGAGCATTATTTCTACCCGGTAATTTTCGAGGAGCAATTTTTTCAATTTCTTGGGTCAGAATCCTGCCAATGAAACGACGATGTCGTTGTACAAAGTTGTCTGTTTTCAAAGGACCAACCAAAACTCCATCCAAAGCACGAAGTTTATCTGATGGATCTGGTAGTGTCTTAAATTCGGAAGCAGCTATACGATCATAAATACCTTCCAGTAAATCTGTAGGCACATCATGATCACAATCAATTCCACGATTATTGTTAATAAAGCCTTGTTTAGTCATCCGTTTGCCCAATTTTCCAACATTAGGATTATGAAGATCTGTGTGTAACAAAAGCACTGAATAAGCTAAGACTTCCACTGTTTCAGGACTATGAAAATTTTTTCGGACACGATCTGAATTTTGAATAATATATACTTCATGAAATATTCGCATTAGATAAGCAATTTTTTGAGATTCACCCTGAAACAAAAAATATAGAATTTTTAAGAACATTACAATCACCGAAATTTATAAAAGATCAACTATGTTTACTGAATTTCATCGATATCATGAACCGATCTAAGTTAGACCACTACTGGAAGACTAGAAACACTAGACGAATATTTCATCCTCCTCGTTGGCAACCATTCAAGACACCGCATCCAGAAGTCGGACACAAGAACTTCGAACTCAAGACCTACTTCCATCAAACCAACCGACTTAGTGCAATCCAACAATCTCCGCAACCGCACACAATCCCTTTAATAAATTGGATGACTAGTATAAAAACGATAACTGATAAACTTCAGAATAATGTTAAATTAAAACTAATCATTGATTACTCAATATTTATTTAAATTTATCAAGACTTACTGAAGGATGAAAATGTCCGATAACTGAACGCAAGGCAACATCTACCTCCATATTCTTCATATTGATCAGCAATAAGAATTCCCTGTGAAAAATAATTAATTAAAAATGTTATTAAACCAGGTAGAATTCTAAAATGAAAGTTAAAATTGCAAAAGTTCTACGCACATAATACAAACGAAGCCATTCATACTGACTATTATTGTTAAAACTCACCTCAAAACTTTCGTTGCCAATGTGTTGTCAAGTAGACCAAAGTACTCTCCAATAGCTTGGCGATTGAGATTTGGTTCATGGAATAAGAATTGAGCAATTTTAATGGGATCAGACAATAAAATATAATTTCTAATAAGGTAATTGAGTCCTTCGACTGGGTTCCTGTGTTTAATAAAAAAATATATATTTTAAGAAATCACATTTGAAACAAATATTTGAAATATATATAACGAAGATCTGTGAACGTTTCGGTTTTAACTGTAGTATAGTTGTTTTACCTGTAACGCAACGATAGAGATCCGAAGGTAGGGATCTCTTTTGTGCTCTAGAACTCATGATACGATACATGTGTATTACTTGATAAAATCGTCTAAGATTTGTGCACACAACCATGTACACTGTGACCCTGTTTCGAGCTTCTCATGGACTGCTAATGACCTAGAGTCCACGAGAAACAGGAGAGTAAAAACCGGGATGCCATCTCTGTCGCATAAAAATCGGGCTACATTACTGATAAAATATACTATTTAATAAACAGTTACTCACCTATTAAATAAAGTGCAACCTGCCAATAAAGTACGTTTATTATTCGCTCGTTTCATAGACTGACGTAAAGTAGTTGCCCAACTTGCCGATGATGAAGATCCTACTAGATTTCTATGTTCCCTTAAATCTCCATTTTGAGTTTCCACATCTGCACCTTGAAATGTAGTACTTAGCTGTGATGAAAGACCTGAGTCTTGATCACTTGATTTATTCAATTCTGAATACATATTCGTCATCGAGGATCGTGTGGCTGATTTGTAAATCACAGGTCCTGAGGAAGTAGGATTAAGAAATTCTGAAGGAATAGGTAGTCTGTGCCGACGTTTCATTGTCGGAGTATAGAATGTACTTATCAGGGACTTGTGAGATCCAGTACTCTTGCCAACAGATTGACTCATGCTCGTGAAATCCGAAACAATCGAACTGATACTTGAATAAGTACTGTTTTGATTTTGAGAACACGGACCATCGATACCAGTAGGTGGGATGATAAACCAAGGTTCATCTGCTTCACTCAGACATTTTTCAGAATCAAAGGCGTTTTTATGAACAGATTTAGTTTCATTGATTTTGAAATCTTCTACATTGTTACTCTTCAAAACAATAACTTTCTCATTAGTTTCATCTCCAGAATCACGATTGTTACAGTTACTTGTATGATCAACAGCATGTGATAGAAAGTTCCCAGGTGTCTTACTTTCCTGAGATTTCGATGTTCTAAAATCAGTGAAAATAGTGTAAGCATGAATTATTTTGAACCCGTAAATTAATCGATCGACCAAAAAGCAGTTGTATTGGAATTTTGTTAGGCTATGAGCAATATTTTCTGGATCATAGGGGATGAAAGACAAAAAGTATTAACAAAGACTCCATATGTTTTCAATATGGATTCTAGTTTATGGGAGAAATTTTACACCAGCTGCTCAAATACTTGAGTTGTCTGAGTCATTCATTTAGGCTTTGTCCGTTAAATCTACCATGCGTATGTGCGTGTGTGAGAGGATAAAATTATGCACGTGGAAATCTATTTATATATCATGCCCATATGAAACACATATGGTCATCTCTCCCTCCACCCTAAATGTCTTTATTTTCAACCAAACTGTCTGACCCTCTGATCGGGAAACAGGGTGGTGGGGTGAAAGATATATTCATCGTTATGAATACTTAATCTTGTGAGGCATACCACCTTTCACAAAGATCTTGTATACACGTGTACGCAGAAACAATTTTTAGTTTTTTATCATTCCCATATAACGTAGGTAGTTTATTTCGGATCTGAGCTTTTTATATCTGATCCACTTATGCCACAGCTCAGACACAGCTATAAATGAGTCATGAAATTTGTGTATCACACTCACGACCTTGAAGTTTTTGTACAAATAAAACTCAGTGGATATGAAAAGTGAAAGAAAAAGGTAGTTTTAAAAAATAAATTGCGAAAAGAATAGAATTATCCTATCAACTAGATACTTAAATGTACTTGAATGTAAAAATTAACTTTAAAGGGAGCTGAATAGTTGATATCCTTTGTATTGAAAATTTCTACTAGTGAAATATCAGAACGAAAGTTTAAATACAGTAGATAAAATGGCTGACACATAATGCACACTATACATCTATTAAATTAAACTTGGCTAAAGTTTCAGAAAAATTCCTCAAAAGAAATTCTTTACAAAATAACAGACCAACCGAGAGGTCATTAATGCGTGAATTTAGTTATATCACATCAAATTATTTAAAAGTAAATTATCATGGAAATTTATCATTCTGTTTTGGCCTAACATACAAAAGCAATGAAAAACTCAAGTTTAATTAACTAGTTAGCACTAACTGAATATCAGAAATATAAAGAGATAACTCACATAATAGGATGATTTGAAATACATCTATGTCTCAATAGACTGCGACGGGATTTAAAAACTTTAGCATAAGGTGTAATTGTCTGCTGGGTAATTTGATTATACAAACATTCTTGTTGCGTTTTTTCAGGTATTGATGACCTGTTAGTGATAACTGGTGCTGTACAATCAGTTGTTAGGGATCTACGAGGTAATGATCTTCGCGGATGTTTAACATTCTTTTCAAACCATCTTGTAAGACTGCTTTTACGTTTAGTACAAGTGGTTGTTTGATTTGATTCAATTACGTTAGATAAATCTGAGAAAACTGTAATTCTTTTATCAACTTGATCAGTATTTGTATCAATCATTCCATCAGTTGGTTGTACATGTTGGTCGATATGTAATGGTGATCGGTCTCGATAATTTAGTATAGACCTCCGTCTTTTCCACTGATTAAAATCAAATTGAGGATTAATATTCTTCTCTGATTTATTCATATCAGATACTGGATGTTCAGCGGGAAGAAAAGTTGTACTAAATCGTTTTACAAATCTTGTTAATTTTGAAGAAGGAACATCTGATTTATAGTCTACTTGTGGTGTCTTTTGAGTTTCAGGACAGATGACAGGATTTAAGTTCTGATTGATATTTACGTCAAGTTTAGCAGCTAGAACACGTTGTGGTGTTTGGCGTATAGATGTTAATCTCATTCGTGGTCTTGGTCTATTTGTTTTAAGTGGCCGTAAAGCATTCAATAATACCGGCGGTGAAGATTCCATTATTTTTTAAAATGTTTAATATAAAAGTAATCGTGTTTTAAACTGCATACAAGTTAATCGGATATGAAATTTATTCAACTAAACCGATTACCCTTTTAATACGCTTTCTAAACTAAAATAAACCAACCAATCAAATACCTAGGGATTTTTTATTGCTATTAACCAATCAGAATTCAGTAAAGCAAAAACATGTCCACGCGATAATTTTACTCGTGGTTATAAGATCAATAATAAACAACAACAATAGGTCAAAAAATAGATTATTAAATATACTGATCTAATGAGCATAACATGAAATTTGATTTGTCAGCTTAATACTTTAGCAATTAGGTTTACGGTTTAATATTCTATATGTAATTATTTTTTCAATGATTAACTTTACTGTCAAGGCAAAGAATAAATTGATCTTCATAAAAGCTTCTAGCAGCAGTGAGATGGATAAATAAATAAAAATGTTCTCAACATAATATAAATAAAATCTGTAAAGTCCCTATGAACTCCGCCTGTAGCTCTTCTAGAGTTACTGCCGGTCTCAAGCCCGGGTAAAGGAAGAGGGTTGGGCATGGGGTTAGCGTCCCCATCCCGTATTTATATATGTATAAGCGGAATTATTGTAGCAAACTAAATTTTATTTTTGAAAATCCCAATTTTTTAGGATAAATAAGTACATTTTTCGTCAGATTATTCATATTAAACTATGCATTAAATAAATTAAGGATTTCTGAAATTATCTGGAATTATTTAGTAGAAGACAGAAAGAGGATATATCGATTTTCAATCTACTTACACAAACCTCCAAGAATTAGAATGAAATCTTTCGTTCCCATCCTTTTCACGTTATTTTAAAGATAGTGACTATGACACTCCTATGAATAGACTTCACGTTTATCAAATGTCTACAGCTGTGTTTGATATTAGTTGGTCAGACCTATTCAGTGGTATGTCATATGCATAAGCTGCATCCTGGTTGACACTCCTTTTTAAAACTCGTCTGTAATCAAGATGGAATTGATGAATCAAACAGGATTCACATCCACGTTACTAAACTTCACGGTCAGAGAAGTCATTGTGGTATACTCACCAATCTACATGAAATTTACACCTAAATAAAGACCCAAAACCATCATTCAAACAGTTAGATGTATACAAGACATTTAAATGAAATACCATTAATTTTTTTTTTCTATGTATGTATTAAAAATATGAATCAATGAAGTGAATGAATTAGTGAAGATACACATGTACATAAAAAATAGAAGAATGAGAAATTCATTTATGTGATTATTTCTATATTCACTCAAAAAGGTATCTTTTAATGGTAGTAATAATAATAATAATAATTAACTTGTCTTATAAATGTAATAAAAATGTCCAACTTCTAGTTTCCGGACACATTTATGAGCTTTTTCACGAGGTCAACTAATAAATGTGTGTGTGTATATAAGAAAGAAATATAGCAGAGATTTATACACATTTTAATGCATGGAATGTGAAAATGAGGTCATTCAATGATTTAACTTAATGCAGACAGAGATGAATGAGATGAATGAACCGCACCAACACCATTACTTTTGACAAGTAATTCTATGTTTGTTTTTTTAAATTGATTTAATAACATTAAATAGATCATAGATGAAATGGACATCCAAAATGAAAGACATAATAGAATATCTCTTTTGATTAAGCATCTATTTAGTTAAATTTACAGTAAATTAACTAATTAAGTAACATAAAACTTACTTAATAAATTGAATAGAAAAAATGTGCTTCTTTTTTTTTATTAATGTGGATTTGTACGTGATAAAAAGCTGAAAACAATCTTAGTAATTAATGCTAATAATGAAATCTATACAAGTTTGACAGTTTTATTTAGGAAAGAAAGATTGTAATACACTGAACTATTTAGTAAGTGTTTTTCTTAATGAGGTTTTAATTTGAAAGATTATTCTAGTTAGCCCAATATTTTTTGTTCATTACGATATTTAAATGATGAGAGAACTCGGTTGAAAAAAATTAAAAATGAAGAGAAGAATTTAAAAAATTAGATGGTAATATTGTTGAGAGTAATATTAAGTAGAAAATGAATCTGAATTAAATAGCTTCCAGAATGTTAAACTCGTATTATGCTAAATAAATTATGTGACTATTTAGTAGTGCCCATCCACAACCACACTAGGAACCAAACAAAGGAACTTCAGATTCCGAGGTGTGTAGTTAATCTATAGATCACTGAGTCAATACCCAATGGTTTAAACATCTAACTTCAATCAATCCACCACCAATACCATTGATGAGCAACTGCTTGAAATCAGATATGGACTGGATAAGTACTGATAAGGAGTTGTATATTAAGGTAAAATAGCTGCTCAATGTTTTAATAGTGTGATATAAATTAACTGCGTTATCGTCCTGCACCTTCAAATATTAAACTTTGTTTAGTAACTTAAAATTAATCAACTATCAACTGGCCTAAAATTCCATTATGTTTTAAGTCTGACAAGTGCGAAATATCTATTATTTCAAGGTCACTTTTAATTTTTTCTTTGTGAAGACCCAGAAAGTTTAAGTGAACTTTTCCAGAAAATTGGTTGAAATCTATAGAACGGTTATGTATATATTTTTATTCAATAATAAAAATCTATACTATTAATTAATTAATTGGTTAATTAACGAATAATCAATTTATTTGAAAATTCCTATTAAATATTCTAACAAAGAACTGTATTAATTCAATTCCTCCTTCTGTCTCTACGGTCATAAACTTGAAATATACTTAACTATATCTTTATAATCATTGAAAAAAGGATACATACAATATGTGATTGAACTGACCCGTGTTATAAAAGAATCACTAAAGTTGAAAGGATAAATAAATGGATATCTAGAATAATTCCAAAGTTATACGTAAAAGGTAATTTTATAAATACCCACATGCCTGTGACGGCCGAATAGTAACTAAAATAAATGTTGCATATGATTTATTTTTATTCAAGTTATTTATAGAAAAATGATGTGTTAATTCTTCAAGAGCAAAAATATGACGTAATCATTTTGTAGAAATTCTGTGTCTCTGGGACATTTCGTAATAATAATACAGCTTAAACTTCTAAGCTTTCATAAATAATCATCTTGTTGAACTGAAGTACTAGGATATAAATTAACTTCATCACTGGTGTATTACAATTTGACCACGTGAATCAGTTAGTTATAGCTCCATGTAGATTATTGTTACTTTTTCAATTTACATAAATAGATTTTCAATAAAAAATGGTTCTAGCTATGAATTCCAAGTTCATACTTTATCTATTATTGATATGTAGGTTGTATTAGTCACAGATTAATCTCACATGGGATACCATCGAGAACCAGAGAGTACTGAATAGCTGTTTCACCCTAGTATGGGATTCCTCAGAGATGTACATTAAGGTATTCTGAGAAATTCTTCAGCATTAAAAGTATCGGTCGATATCTAAAGGTACAATTCTAACTTAAATCAATTTGTTATGTAGTATAATAACCATCCAATGCCATAAGTGACAACTCTTTCATTCCTGATACATCTATACTCTACCAGTTATGATTTCTAATTAGAACTTCAAAAACATTTTGAAGTAAATCACTAGTAAGCTGATTATTGTACTATAACTATTATATTTTAAAATAAATCTATTAATCAGTGTCTATCAATAATCATCTTAATGAGTGATAAAGTTATTTTCAATTGAATTATATCAGTAGAAATTATCCATCAGGAAAAATAAATATCATTACATAACAATAAAATATATTTATGCTTTTAATCAATTGCGTATTGATCTTGACATATTATAAATACTGTTAATAATATTGTCGTAAGAATAAACATTAAAAGATCTTCAAATCAAACCTGATTAATGTTCATATCTAATAGTAATCCTTTGGGGGGGAGGACATATTAACATTAAAGTTAAAGAAACAAACTATACTAATGACTTGTTTATAATGATAAGTATATAGACAAATGAATATACTCAAGTATAATATGAATGATTACACATAGGAATCCACATCAATAAAATGTTTACATTATGTTTTTACAGTTCCGGTTAATTTAATTAATAAAATAAATATACAAAGTAAATAAACCACAATGCGGGTAATTTGTTTCATATAAATGAACACGAGTATTCAATGTATGTCACTTGTGTATATATTTATATGTATTATGGAATGAACAAACTTATTAGTATAGACATTCTATATGACGTAATAGTTAAATGAGATTTTTTTAAATATGACAATTGTTTAGATCATATCTCACACATAAATATGAGTTATTATGAGTATTTGAATAGTCATCACTATAATTTCTGTATAGTTTAATGTTTTTAATAAGTTTCATAATGATGAATAAAGTTCAATTTAGATGATGGTCAAATTTCATGAAAAACATTTTTTTCCATGGTTATCTGTATTCTCTGTTAGGACAAATTGATAAATTTATCAGTTTAGGTGTTCTGGAGATTGTTAAGTTATTAGGACGAAAAGGCCGTCCAGTGATTCCAGGTTTTCCATGATGGTCTAGCTTCAAGTGACTCATGATTTCAATCAAAAACTTAACAATCTACACAACACCTAAACTGATGGTTACCATGTGCTCACTAGTGACTAGCTTCGTGAAAAAATTCTCGGAGTTCTGGTGAGAAGCTGTGACCAGTGGAGCTAATCCTTGTCGGGTGTCTACCTCAGTAGAATGGAAGATGGTTGCGCATTTTCGTGGATTGGTTGAGGTTAGATATTAACACCGTTGGATGCCGGCTCAGTGGTCTAATGGTTAAGCGCCTGGCATGAGACTGATAGGTTCTGGGTTTGAATTTCGCGGGGTGCGGGATCGTGGATGCGCACTGCTGAGGAGTCCCATACTAGGACGAAATGGCCGTCCAGTGTTTTCAGGTTTTCCATGGTGGTCTAGCTTCAATTGACTCATGATTTCAATGAAAAATTTAACTTTAAACAATGTTTTTAATCTATATCCATTACTGAATGTCAAGTAACTCTATGATAGAGAACAGCAGAAAAGTTAATCCAAGTGAATTTTATCCTGCTAGTTTCTTGTTTCGAATATTTAAAGAATAATAATCGGCTGAAAATAGATGAGGCAATTAGGCAGTTTGTATTTGTATATTTAGTTGCCAATGAACTGATTTTAAGTCTATTCAGTTTTGAGACATGAAATTTTGGCTGTAAAGTTATTACAACTAAATATAAACAATCAAATTTTCAAGTCCGTACTCAATGAACAAAGTTTGTGGCTTTATTAAATAATATAATCGTTTAATTGATATTTCGGTTTACAACAAAACTGTAACACCAGGTTTTTATTCAGATGTAGTTATTGACCGTTAAATAACAATTCAGTTTACTCAATAAGGTCAACAACAACAACAACCATTCAATAAACTGGGAGTATTGAAACTCTAAGTAAAGTATATTGAAATTTACAATACACTTTCTTATCGTTTTCTCTTGTACTCTCGAAGTAGATTATTAACGTGATGATGAAGTTAAGCGATTCCATAAGTAAAACCTTAATGAATAGATGCTTTTAACTAGGAGAAACTGTATAGATGTCCTACAAGTAAAAATGGTGAAATTTGTTTTTATTAAGCTTCGCGTTGATCTGGTTCTGAGTCCTGAAAGTACATAAATGATCCGTCTATATTCAAATCACTTCCTATAATCTCTACAAATCCCTCTATACTACTAATAACAACGTGCTCACTAGAAACTGGATTCAAGTTGCAAGTTTTGAAGTTCAAGGTAGAAACCGTAACTAGTGGAGTTCAGTCATGTAGGGTGTGAAACAGTCATTCACTGCAAACAATGGACTGGGGTTGTGCGATTTCGTAAATTGAAACTAGACATGTACACTGGATGCCGGCTTTGTGGTCCAGGGACCGCTTGCAACATCAGAGGTCACGGGTTTGACTCTCAGATTCAGGGTCGTGAATACTCACGCTGGGACGAGATGTTCGTCTAGTGTTTTCGGGTTTTCATTGGTAGTCTAGGTAAGATCGATTTGTAATTTAGAACTTTGAAATTTATTGCGCAAATTTCTTAATCAATCGTTGAAGCGTTTCATCACATATTTACTAGATTATACCCTTTATGTTCCAGTATAAGGCTTTCTTTGACATTTGA